CTATAGGAAGAAACAAAACAAGATTCAATCGCTCAACAATTACGCAGGAGAAAGTGGAGATGGATTGGACACTCACTCGCTGAGGAGGCCACTCGCTGGGTGACATCGCGCGTCAGGCCATAGCTCGAGTGGAGCCCGAATGGGAAGCGGCGAGTGGGACGTCAGTGTTAGGGTGACATGGAGGAGATCGTGTGAAGAGGAGTTGAAACAGTATGGACTAACATGGATGCAGGTGAAAAGTACAGCAGGAGACAGAAGCAAGTGGAGACGTGTAGTTGAAGCCCCATGTTCCACTAGGAACCCAAGGAAACAATAATAATAACTATTCGACATTTTGGTATTGCGATAAATTTGCATTAAAACTATTTACTTCGACTATCTAAGTTGCTTGCAAATGGCGAGATAGTTCCCCTTTTCCTCTTTTCAGACTTTAATTATCGGATTTTTAAGATTTTATTGTTTCTTTTTGACACCGGCGGAAGCCGCTAAATCTTTCAATGTGTCTTTCTCATCCATTGTTACTTGGTGTTCTCAACTAGTTGGAGATTGAGTCCATGTTTATTTCAACGCTACACCGCTCACACCTCTCCGGCGTTCTTAAGATCAAACTGTCCTAGGATTTCGAAGCTTTTTAACTGGAATCCGAAGGGAGATTTTAACCCATAAACAGTTTAAAATCACAATCTTTTATTGTTTCCTGATATTTCTTAGTGTACTGTTCAGCATAACGATAAGGATATCTTGTGGGTAATTTAATATTTATCAAAGTGAACTTTTCATGTGTTGTTCTGAACCCTACTGTTACCAATTGATTGTCTTAAACAGCCTTCCTAAACTTTTAAATAATAGCTCACCAATGTTACTATACCAGTCTGGTCATTGTTTCTAACATACATACGATACACTAAAGTACTAGTAGCTTTACTGCATATCCGCGTTAATTATGACATTGTAGCTCCTTGCTGTAGTAGTTTGATGACAATCTATATTTTTTGTATGTTTGCATATATGTTATCGGTGGCGTTAAATTCTTGAACTGCGCTACATTTTCTGCACTTTTATCAGAACATTTCACTTGATACTGATATCTACTCAATGTAATGAATTAAAAGAGATATTCGGCTCAAAGTTTAAATGTATATTATTGAATTTCCATGAAATAATACTAGTGTATTTTGGCTTATTTATTGAAACGCCTTAATACCCACCGGATAAAGCAGGTGGCGCCACTTCAAAGAAAGGATATGTCATATAGTCACCCGGAAAATGCTAGTATTGTGTTTTCTTCAGTTCACTCTTGGGTTGCTAGGCCTCTCTGCGAAGCACTTCTTGAGTAAACTCATTAGACAATCATTTTATTAAAACATACCACTGGCTGTATGTTTGAGTTATTGGGTTACCTGAGTTTTCATTCAGTCCAGTGTATTATATTTTCTCTAACTATAATTTACTTAATCATTCAGTTATATGCTTGATTCGGAAGGAGGTAATCCTCTGCATTTTTGATTGGCTATTAAACTACCCATGAGTATTTCTTGGGTATGAAGGAAAAATACCATGTGAGATTAGCCTATGCTTCAAATGTAACGGCACTCCGTCACTTGATATGCGCTGAGAATTCTTTTCATTGTGTAAACCTTTGATCCAGAGTGAAGCTGTTATAATGGGTCAGAAATTTTGCCAGTGCATCACGAAAAGCATTTCCAACAAGCTACTTTCGACCTCTGTCAACAGTTTCCACCTTCATGGGCTCCATAGTGAAGGTCAAATGGCCAGTCGGACATCCGACAAGAAAGAATTAGCAACAAGAATCTCTCCCTGAGAACAAACCAACAAGTGAGAGCCGACTGCTCAACAAATATGTAGAAGAAAATGGAGATGGGTTGATCGGGCATACACTAAAGGGGCCGGCGAATGACATCATGCTCATTGCAGGCCATCGATCTAGTGGAATCAAAACGGGAAGCGACGAGTGGGTCGTTGGTGTGAGGGTGACATGGGGGAGATCGTGTGACGAGGAGGAGGAGGAGATGAGAGGTTATGGAGAATCGTGGAGCTAGCCATCTGAAGAGGATGGAGATGTGTTGTTGAAGCCCTACGTTCCACTAGGAACCCATCGAAATAATAATATATTAATAATACCGTTTATCTCATTATATCTCTACTCCCTGGCCAGCTAGTGAAAGAAGCAGCCTAGCAGCTTCAAATGCCTTTGAACCTCTACCTATCTTTGCATGCATTGTTTTCAAAGTTAAGCATTTTCCTATAGTGCATAAAGTTTCTTGAAATGAAATAAATTCGAGTTTCAGATATTTTCTTACAGTTTCACACTAGGAAATTAATCACAACTGACTGGGTGAGACAAAATCACAACATTGAAGAAGATTTGTAGCTCAAGTGGATGATTTAGGTGTTTCTATGTGGTGAATGGTGAATAGCAGTGAAATCGTAAACGTGCATTTCGTCCAACTTGGGAACCGCTAGATGGATGTACATGCTATCCCTAGTGAGTAGTGGTGTTTTTCACTAAGGTTGGAAAGAAGCATCCATAGTTTTGAATGTCAGAGCGTTATCCACTAAGCACTCGTGCTACGATCCGACATTCAGACAAATAAAATCAATCAATAGGAAATGGAAAACTAACTTAAACCGATTTGGTTGCTGTCGTCTAGTTGTAGGTGGAAGGTTTAATTTTGAAGCTGGTGTTGAAAAAGCTATCTGGAAAGACAGTGGAACGGTCACAGTTATAATAACTGAGCTCAGACAAAACAACGGCAAAAACGAAATCACACGAAGTTGACAATAAAAATAATTTGAAAAAAAGCCAGAACAACGGTGGTTTGTGCAGAATAAGATGGTACTATCATTGACTTTGTTGGCTCCTTATCAGCTGATTACACTCTAAGGATATTATCAATTGATTTATGTACGGAAACAAGTTTAGCATACTTATTCACAGAGAATTCCAGAAAAGTCTCATCGATCTGTCGAAGCATCTACTGTAGCATCTCGCGTGTTACTTCCATAAAGGATACATAAATACACATTAGCAATGCAACATTATCAGCGCCGAATTAATAATATTGATGATTTTCTATAGTTGGTTTGTAAGGATTAGTTTTGTTTCTACGAGTTGATCACGGATTGATATCAGTTAGAGAACCATTGAAAACCAACCAGGGAGTACTGGACAGCCAGCTGTTTCATCCTAGTGCTTGGGAATCATTGGCAGTACGCATCCGCCACCAGGATTCGTACCCACGACCTTCCGGTTACAAGGCGCGTTCGTATACCATTCAGCCACTGGGACCCGATTCAATAGCTCATGAATTCTAGCTTCTACCAATTCGTGATTTAGCGCGATCCTTACCAATGGCGTCACTTTATTCCAAGTAATAATATTCATCATACAAAGTGGAATTTTCAGCTTTATGTAATCGAATGATAGAGAGAATAAAGACATCTAGTTACCTGGAGTTCTAGTGAGAAGTCATGACCAGTGAGGTCCATCCAGTCACGTGTGAGGATGGATGTACCACCGACGTCATTTGTTAGGATCGCGCTAAATCACAAATCGGTAGAAGTTAGAATTCATGAGCCAGTAGATCGGGTCCCACTGTCTGAATGGTATACGAGCCAGCTTGCCTTGTAACCGGAAGGTCCTGGGTTCAAACCCTAACGGGTGCGTACTGCCAATGATTCCCAAGCACAATGGTTAGGACTCTCGCCGACCATGCACATGGTCCGAAGTTCGATCCCCTACCGGCGCACACCCGATATCGATGGTCGGCTTGCAAAATTTGGGCCACCGATATCACATGCTGAAAATTCCATACTTGTATCAAAAATACGGTGTCGAATCAAGCTATAATAAAAAAAATAGGATGAAACAGCTGGTTGTCCACTACTCTCTAGCTGCCTTTCAATGGTTCTCTAATTGATATCAATCCGTGATCAACTCCTAAAAATATTGATGATTGTCTTAATATTCTTATATCCAAAGATCATCTAGGTACCACTATCCAATTATTCGATGACCGAAAGTCCTCTCATTGCAATCCAACTAAGCAAAGACTTATTCGAAAATTTGAAAAACTTTTGAATCCGAATGCAGCATACTCCAAAGCAAATAAGTCAAATATACAGACAAACATAAGAACAGTACGCAAATTATCAGATACAGAACTTAATGTACATGAAATGACACTACTTGAGAAAGGACTAAACTTTAACATGACTAGAAAACCACTTTAAAGCGATAGCAATAGCTCCCACTATGGAAACTTAAATAACACATTTACCTGATGATGAAGCTAATGAATTACGTCAGAAGGTTGGATGTATCCTGTCGATTGAAAAGCAGGTCATCCCAAATTTTTCGAAGAACGAATATCATGCATTACAAACACTAAGATCAGACAAATCTATTGCTGTAACTAAAGCTGACAAAGGCAATATCACTGTGATCCACAATAAAGACGATTATGACAAGAAAGCTTTGGAAAGCACTAGTACTGTGGTGAGAGCTGGCTGCTAGCCAAAGTTGGTAGACAGTAATTGACGTCAGTGTTTATGTCCCCAATATTGGTGGTGAGAAAATGAGAAAAAAGGCTTTGCGTAGGCGGATACAGTTAGCATATGGATGATCTGACACAGCCACAAAGAGATGCAAGTTTAACTTTCTGTGAGAAACAACCAATCAAAAGACTGTATTTTCTACTAACAATAATCTATAATAATGTACATTGAAATCTATAAATATGTGTTGATTTTCCTTAATTAACGATCTGTTGCCTGGCCATTGTCTTCTGTTGTTACAGTACCAATAAACAAAATGTCTAGTACTATGAACAAAGCAAAAGCACAAGTATGTAATCTACTTAGAGAATTGAAATCAATGTATGTAAAACATTTTTTGACTATATATTTTGATGATTAACAAAAATCAGAATAATTCTGCTGAAGAAGCTGTGACGGCTTACACAGCTGCGATTGGCCAACTAAATATTTTGGTAATTTCCATAATATCGTTTAGTAAACTGTTCCGTTGTTTTGCACTGACTGGCTTCCTTCACACACTTTACTCCACAGCATAACATACGTATTGGAACCATTGAATAGGTGAATATATCCACACAATGAATGCAGACAGTACTAATATCATCGTATCGTTCCATGCCACACCAACAGCATGAACCAACACTTGAAATATTGGAAAGAAAATATAAATAAGAGTGATTTGGTTAGTGCATGCACAATTAACATGTGGATGAAAGCTTCCAAATGATATCTGACATAGCCTGTTGAAAGTTATATCATAGTGAAACGCAATAACTACCATGAAAATCACTATTCAAGGATTTGATTGGATTCATCATTTCATCATGAACTGACATCGGTTAGAGAACCAGTGGAAAACCTGCAGGGAATGCTGCATAGCTGTCTCGTCCCAGTTTTGGACTCTTCATCAGTACGCGTTCACTGAGGTTCAAACCGAGAACCTTCTGGTTGCAATGCGAGCTCATAGACCATTAAGCCACTGGGACCCATCCGATCCAGTGGCCACCGCATGAATTCCAACTCCTGCCAATTCATGATATGGCCGATGACATTCGCTAGTGGTCGCACCATATCGTGAATTGGCAGAAGTTGTAATTCATGGGCCAGTGAATCGGGTCCCAGTGGCCGAATGGTCTACGACCTCGCCTTGCAACCAGAACGTCCTGAGTACGAACTGCAATGGATGTGTACCTCTGAAGGGCCCAAAGCCAGGACGAAACAGCCTTCCAGTACTCCCAGGATTTCCAATGCTTCTCTAAATGATGTTAGCTCATGCTGAAATCCTGAAAATCACTGCTTTTACATTATTGAAAAGTTGGAAAGCACTATATACTACTGACTAAATGAGATGAGTAGTTGTGCACCACTCATATCAACCACTAATACCTGCTAGACAGCCAGATCTTCGAATTGATCTAAACACCACTTGACGGGTGTTATTCTCGTTTGAGATCGAGCTCATCAGTGATGTGCCCGTATCGACCTAGTTCAGAGGGCCGAAACAGTTCAAACAACCATGTACTCGGTGATAGACAGTGGAAGTAGCAATGAAGCGGTGTCTAGGTCACTTCGATGATCTGACTGGCTAGCTAGCAATCACTGCTGTTTCATGTGAGTGGCATGCGACTACTCGTATCTATCAGTCATTCAGTAGTATACAGTTTCACGCCTTCATGCTTAGTTGCTTCATTACCATTTATGGTATCAAGCTGAATAACTTCGGCTTCCGAATAAAACTCTGATGAAATTTCACAATGAACTGTGTAAATTTCTAATTAGTTTGCAAATAGCGAATTTAATAAATGACTAAGTATATAGTGCTCCTATCCATCCCAAGCAAAATACTAAGCCGCATCGTCCTATAGAGAACCAAACGCTCTCTGGGTGAAACACTTCGATTGGAACAGACTGGATTCAGAAGAAACAATTAATACATCGAACAAATAGCAACACTGTTAATCATCAATGAACACAGCTTGAAATGGCAGTCACCTCTCTATCTCAACTTCACTGACTTTGAAAAGACCTTCGACAGCGTCAGTCGAGAGGTGATTTGACAACTACTTCGCTACTACGGGGTGCCGCCAACAATTATACGACAATGCTGCATGCCAAGTAATCCACAACGGGAAACTCACGGAATCCCTCGAAGTGAAGATGGGAGTAAGACAAGCTAGCTGGCTGCCTATTACCTCCAATAATTTTCCTGATTGCAGTAGATTGGATAAAGTGACAGACGGCGGCGGGCAGCGCGGGGACAGGCATAAAACGGACCCACACAAAAAACTTTGAGGATCTGGATTTCGTAGATGACATATGTCTAATTTCCCACAAACTGGAAGATATGCAAGTGAAAACCAACAAGTTGGTGATAGAAGAAGCATCAAAGATAAGACACTACTTCAGGTGGACATAGAGAAAATAGAGGTTATGAAGACTCCTGGCCAATAGCAGCAGCAACAGCAACAACTATAGATAACAATCAGCCAGCAGAAATGGGAGAAATCTGAAAGAAGCAATCTCCTTTACCTACCTACCTACCTACATGGGAAGCACTGTTTCAACTACAGACGGTTGGAACTGATGAGGGTATCAAAGCAGTGAGGGTCGGGAAAGCTAGTCAAGCTTTCATTTCTCGCAAGTCTGCGTGGAGGTCAACAGCACTCAGCGTGGAAAATAAGATCCAGATTTTCAACTCCAGTGTGAAATCAGTTCTACTATACTGATCGGAGACTTGACTCCACATCACGAAGGGCATTTCGAACAAACTAAAGACCTTCATCAACAGCTGTCTTCGCTCAATACCACTCAAGATCAGATGGCCAGCCAGAAAAAATCAACAACAGGGATCTCTGGCGATGAACGAACCAACCAAGCATGAACTAACTGTGCAACAAATAAGCAGGAAGAAATGTAAGTGGATTGGTCATAGTCTGAGAAAACCATCCAGTAAAATCAGACATCAGGCTATTACTCAAGTGGAACACGAATGGAAAGCGACGAGTTGGTCGTCAGTGCGAGGGTGGGGTGACATGGATGAGGTCATGTGAAGAGGAGATGAAAGCATGTGGGTAGATGTGGAGCCAGGTGAAAACGTTGGTGGAGAGTCGAACGCAGTGGAGACGTGCGGGTGCAAGCTGCAAACTGTCGTCAGTGACTGCCTTTGCTCTATACTGAAAATCAAGTGGCCTGTCACAGTAAATAAGCAACATGGAGCTTAAACTGTGTGAAAAATCCATTGCTCAACAAATATGCAAAAGAGAAATGGAGTTGCATTGGATATACACTGAAGAAAAGTTCGTTGACCTGACGCTCCAGGTAGGCTCTCAAGTGGAACCCATATTGAAAACAGCGATTTGGGTATTTACAGGAGGGTGTTAGAGCTAAGATCATTCGAGGGGGAAATGACATCTAGTGGGCGATGGTGGAGTCAGCAGGAAAAAAGACAGCGTATTGCAGACGTACCGCTGAAACTCTATATTCCACTTGAAATAGAAAGAAATAATAATAACAACTAGCAACTGTCACTGTTTTCTTATTTCAAAATTCACTTTGTTTAACTCGGTAGCTGAATCTTAATCATTGTATCATTGCACAGTTTGAAGGATTGATTGAAATTCATCTACAAATTGAGCAATATGACTGATGAGCTTTACTTTAACGACAGATGTTGAGGAAGAAATCAATGAGCAGATAGTTGTAATTCGTCTACTTCTTGCTTTTTGGTCCTCATCAGCAAGGTATGTCAGAAAACCATGAAGAAATCTACATTTACTGCAAGTCCAGGATCGTTTCTGCAAGTCATCCAGAAAATCTTTTACTCCTTCACGGATGATGCAACTTAACATTTTGCTTAGGGTGAACAGGAACATGATTTCACGCCAGTTCTTACACAGACTAAAGTCACTTTTATTTGATAGTTTGACCAGGAGGTGAGCATATCCGCTGAGGTTGCTGGGCCTGCTTTCAGTGCTTATGGGGGAAGTCTTTATTCGTCTGGCTACATTTCCAGCTTCTATTAGCTTCGTAGCACTCAGAACTTCTGCCCTTATCAGAGGATTTGTGTCGAACGGCACTTGGGTGACTGACTGTTGGTAGTATTTCTGAACGAGTTCTAAGTGATGGCCAAAACAAAAGTTTAGTTCCAGTGAGAAGTCGTGACCAATAGGGTGCATCAGGTCGGGTGTGAGGACAAGTTCTTGCCGAAGAAATTGGCTAGGGGTCGCGCTGTGTCATGAATTGGCAGAAGTAAGAATTCATGGGCTAGTCATTGGATCGGGTCCCAGTGGCTTAATGGTATACGAGCTCGCCTTGTTACCAGAAGGTCCTGGGTTCGAACTGTAGAGATGGGTGCGTACTGTGAAGAATCCTAAACCAGGACGAAAGAGTTGTCCAGTACTCCCAGTTTGTTTCCCAATGTTTCTCTAACTGATGTCAGCTCATGATGAAAATCCTGTAACCAATCCAAAAGTCCTTCGAAGTCACCAACCAAAAATTATATATACTGTCTATATACATGAAATTACTATTTTCAGCTATCTACAATATCTAACTAACGTAATTTCTCGCATAGTGATCACAAAAACAAAACTATAACCTCCAAAGGTTTCTGTTTTTGGCATTTCTTATCTATTGTGAATATCGTTCACGTAATACTTTTGTACACTCTGTTGCTACACGTATGTATCTCTTATTGCGTTTTAATTGTATCCTGCTTGTTTCATTCGTAATTTGAAAACTGTTTCCGGTTAAGAACAGCATGACACGATAAAAAAAAGATGTATTAAATTCATTTTACTCTGCCAACCATGTTTTTCTCCTTAATTTTCCACACACAGAAATTTGAGCAAAATAAAACACACACGCATTCATTTGTTGTTTAAATTTATTCATTTTAAATCCCCCGCTGATTGATTTTTTCCGGTACAAAAGCCTTGACTATTTTCGAAGGTCACCATCATGATACTCGGATCATGGTGACTGCTACTAAGGCAACTGGAGACAAGCGTTTTGTCCTGTTTGTGACCCGTCAACTTGACGTGCCTACCTACCCACTGACTGATGGTACTTCCAATGACAAGTGAACCCAGCACACATCTTTTCAGACACCGAATCGTTATCCACTAGGCCAGTGCACCACAAAAATAACCCTTCAGGCGATAGGTTTTGTTTGTTATTCTGTTCAGGTTATTTTGTATTTTGTTGTTGACCGACTATACATGACCGAAATACCTAGAATGTGTTGAGATGCTGGTCCATAATAATGAGGTTTCTGCGAAGTCCGAAGGTTAACGCGACGCTGTTTTTCGTTGATGAAGAAACAGGCACCTACAGTTATCGAGTTACACAGAAAACAGATAATTGCATCCTGGACTCCAGTGCTAGCCACCATCTACCAGATTATGTCCATTCATCTTCATGAAATGAAATATACCTACTGTTTCAAGTAAACTTGCAATTAATTCGTATTCTTCGTGTAAACCATCATCTCTACACCTCGCTTTCCTAAGAAATGCAAGGGATTTCAATGAATTATAACGATTTTCGAATAGATTTGTGCATATTCATATACTGCAAAGCAGATACAAGCCTCTGACCTTATTATTCAAGTTTATGATGCTTCGTAAATTGTAATTTGCATTCATAAGTCAGGTTCTAAGTGAAACTTTTCACTATTTCAATGAGGCAGCCTTTCATCAAAAAGGAAATGTTGGTATGTTTAAGATAGGACCTTTTGTTAGTGTATGCAAGCAATCTCAATATTTGTTTAATGAAACATTCTACGTGGATAAATTTCAAATTAGTATCTTGGTTTACACATAGATATATGTACAAAGTTATGTATACCAAATACCAGTACTTGTCCTTCTGAAGCCAGTATCAAGATCTACAACCTGCGATTCAATTTAGTAGGGACTTGTCAATTGGATGAACCAGTATCCTAGTTGTTAATTCCTTTCGTATTCGTCCTTTGATATTCTTCCATTATGTTCAACTTTATACTAATTACCACTAGTAAGTAGTATGAGTTGATTATCCGCAACTATGACTTTGTTCCTTATTGAAGGTTAACTCATTAGTGTATTTGATAATATAGTAACTATTTTCTTATATTCGAGTATTGCTTTCTAGGGATTAGATTGATTGGTTACAGGATTTCATCATGAGCTCACATTGGTTAGAGAACCAATGGAAATCCTGGGAGTACTGGACAACTGTTTCGTCCTGGTTTGGGACTCTTCATCAGTACGCACCGACCAATACGGTTCGAACCCAGGACTTTCTGGTTACAAGGCTAGCTAGCTCGTAGACCATTCAACCAGGCCATGAATCCTAACCTTTTCCAATTCATGACATAGCGCGACCGCTAACCAATTTCTTCAGCGAGTGTTTGTCCTCACGCCCAACCTGCTGCACTCTACTGGTCGCGACCTTTCACTAGAACCCCAAGTAACTACCTACCTGAATAGGACCAGTCTCTAGTGAGCATCTCATTGATATTCAAGTGTTGGTTTGTACGGATTTGATTGTTTTTCTTATCGTTAAACGTCATCTGCTGGATAGGCTTTATTTATATAAACCCTTCACTACTGAACATTGTTTATTCGAGTCCCTTTATTGTTTATCTGGGCATTTGGGCGCTGTTTAGTCAGCGCGTGGATAGCCCTAGACACAGCCTTATTGCTTTTTTCTTTCTGACGTATGGTGACAGTGTATTTGACGGCATTCAAACATAGGTACCTCACAATTTAAAGTTTCTATATTATGTTCATTATATATATATATATATATATATATATATATATATATATATGATACAGTACCGTACTTTAGTCAAATCTTCTGGTTTGGATTTTTGCGCGTAACTCAAACATTTTGACTAATTAATTGATTTGAAATATTATTTATGCCCCACTTTTCCGAATGAAATTCAAGCATTTCAATTAATTATACTGACATTTGCCAGTTGACAGTTCTCTTCTTTCATAAACGATATTTCCTGAATTGTAAAGTGAATTCGGAAGTAAACTTTTAGGTCGTATACGTAATTCCCATTATGACAATTCCATCGCTCCTTCGTCGAACTAGCCTACTTTGAGCACTTTTTAAACCCCTTTCGACGAAGCCGTACTTTTTGTTCTTTCGAAGCCAGCAGTAGCAACCAAAATGTGTCTTCCAATCTATTTGGGAATTGTCAGCTGGGAATACCAGCATCCCGATGTCCTTGTATTCCTTTTTTCTGAAGACACATACTACATACCAAAATATCATACAAATCTGTTTTATTCAGAAATATTACCAGGAAATAAAAACTGGTGAGAAGTCGTGACGATTGGGGTCCAACCTGTCGGAAGTAGGGACACTCATTGGCTGGCAGTAGGTCGCGCTAAAATCATACATGAGTAGAAGTTAGAATTCATAGGCTGGCCGTTGAACCAGGTCCCGGTGGCTGAATGGTCTACGATCTCTCCTTGTAACCGGAAGGTCCTGCTTTGGATCCCAGTGGATGCAGGCTGATGAAGAGTCTCAAACTAGAACGACACAGCTATATATTATTATATTGTTGTTCCCTTGGGTTCCTAGTGGAACATAGGGCTTCAACTGCACCTCTACACTTGCTTCTGTCTTCTGCTGTGCTTTTCATCTGCATCCATGTTAATCCATACTGTTTCAGTTCCTGTTCACACGATCTCCTCCATGTCACCCTTCCACTGACGTCCCACTCGCCGCTTCCCTTTCGGCTTCCACTCGAGCCATGGCCTGACGTGCGATGTCACCCAGCGAGTGGCCTCCTCAGTGAGTAACTGTCCAATCCATCTCCACTTTCTCATGCATATTTGTTCGGCGATTCCTTCTTGTTTTGTTTCTTCCCATAGTTTGTTTCTTGTTGTTTCTTGTTCTTTCCGGCCATTGTTGATAAAGGTCTGCAACAGGCTGTTGGAAATACTCATCCTTTGTGACCCGCCGCTAAGTTTCTGATCCATCCGTATAGAAGAACTGACTGACTTGACTGACGTTTGTATTGAAAATCCGAATTTTGTTGTTGATGCTGGCTGGGTTGAGTGACAGTGGAAGATTCCCAGATTGGTTTCAGGTTGATGAATGTGTTTCTCGCCTTCCCGATTCTCGATTTGACATCCTCGTCCGTTCCACCTGCCTGTAGTTGAGACAATGCTCCGTAGATAAGTGAATGAAGTAGCCTCTTTCAAATCCCTCTCGTTGATGGTGATTGGCGGTGGATGTTGCTGCTGTTGTTGTTGTTGTTGTTGGTTGGTTATTTTCATAACCTCCGTCTTGTCTATGTTCACCTATGAACGACACAGCTATGCTGGCACAAATAATATTGAATCGATACTACCTGCATTCTAAATTCTCAGTTAAGGTATAATGACGATGTTTTACTTACATGTGAAAAATTTACTAGTGTAAATTCAGTATGAAGATAGGCAGCAGTGTGAATGGTATATGAGTACTGTCATCACTATTTGAGCATTTTCCAAATTCATGCTTTTACTGATACCATCAAAATTTATTCTTTTTTTACTAAAACAACTGAGGATAAATTTTAGAAATTATTAGGTTAACTTACGGCGGTAATAATACGTCATTCTTAGGAACTTTCCTAAACTCAAAAGAGGCTGAACTGTCCTCTTTGAAATTCGTTATAAAAAGATATTCGTCCGGCTTTAAACTGAAAGACTGTTGTTGTTTCTGTTCATTGGCTTCGTATATCTTATTCCTTATTGTTAGACAAGCAAGTACTTTCAGTGACTGAACTCTGAACACAGATCGCTGTTTAATCTCTTTCGGAAGTAAACACAACAACGGATTATCATTGAGATTTAAGACTTCCAAGTCAATTTGACAAAGATGTAAAAGGCCAAGTTGAATACCAGTTAGATCATTACCGCACAGGTTAAGTACCTTTAAATGTCTGAAAGAAATTTATCAATAAAAAGTAATATTGATAATCCATGAAAGACAGAATAACCAAAGAAGCAGTTAACAATGAAACAACAGTTGCAATTCTTTGAAGCAGACTATCGAAAGCATTTTGAAGAACATTCTAGACTTTGAAATAATAGAGAAGATTTGTAGCTTCGCAACTAAACCAACCAGCTCAGAGAACACTGTTAATTGCAAAACATTCTTGACTGTTTTTCCACGTGTCACCTTATAAACACAAATACGGTGTTGTGTTGTTGTCGAGGTCTATGTGTCATATATCAAAACCTCTTCCCCCTGTAGATCCGATTACATAGACCTATGAGAAGGACATCGCCTAGACATTCACAGGAACATCTCCCAATATGGTTGTCTTTGTTTTCCAGGGCCTACTTCCTAGACATCATTCTATGTCAACAAGGAAATCTTTCAAAGTGATATATAAGGCTTAGGTAAGTCATTCGATGGCCTTCAGGTGACATCTTCTGTTTATAGAGGAAACTCTTGAAATTGGTAAGGGAAATCCCAAACTGTGCATACGGAAGCAACGTTTTTCGTTCTGTACATTAATTCAGTATGCAATCGGTCTTCATTCGCTTTTTTTCTTTCGAACTTTTGACTTTAAAATATCCTTCATGCATATTTTGAATCTCTCATTCTTGTGAATGTCATTTCTTTTTCCAAGAGATTAAAACTCTAATAAAAACCATTTGCAAATGTCATTCATCATTTAGTGTGCGTCGGTGGCACAGTGGTTAGGACTCTCGCCGACCATGCACATTGTTTCGGGGTTCGATCCCCTGCCGACGTACACCCGATATCTATGGTCGGCCTGAAAAATTTGGGCTACCGATATCACATGCTGAAAATTCCATACTTGTAGTGAAAATACGGCGTGGCATCAGGCTGTAATCAAAAATAAAAATATCATTTTACACATGTTTGTGCAAGCAAATACATTAGGCGCATGGAAAGATGTGTATCGGCTCGCATTGCTGAATACTGCTGTAAATCGCCTTCTAGTGCTTATGATGGCATCCCAAAGAACACAGTCACACAACTGTCACGATATGGTAACGTTGAGTTAAAGGCTTTATAGTTGCTGGTAAGCATGGTAATAAAAAAGCTCTAGGCCTTACTGAAGTCTGTGGAATCAGACTGAATAAGCCGGATCTATGCATTCACGAGGGTACAGTGGTTGCCTCAAATCTACCTTGGTAGCAAACTTTTATTTTATCTTTATAAGATTCGTTTCCTTCCCTCTTTTCTTCACAATGTGTTTTTATATTTGCATAATTTCTATTTTATCTCATACACTGTTATTTTTCACACGACATATGCAAATCTAAAATAATAGTATATGTTAACATCTGTTTCGATGAATATTATTCACTTAATAATGACGTTAACAGACTATCACTCACAAGATGTTTAGATTGGAAAACAGTACACGGAGTACTGGCCAACCATTTCGTCATAGTTTGGGACTCTTCAGCAGTACGCAAACACCCCACTGGGGTTCTAACCCAGGACCTTCTGGTTGCAAGGCGAGCTCGTGGACCATTCAAACACCGGCACCCGATCCATTGGCCAAGCCATGAATCCTAACCTCTGCCAATTCATGACACAGATCGACCATTTCCTGATCTCTTCTTCAATGAATTACTGTATTACCTTCAACCTGCTGTACCCTACTGGTCACGACTTCCCACTAGAACCTCAGATAACTACCTGCCTAAATAAGACCAGTCACTCGTGTGCATTAGATCAATTTTCAAGTATTGGTTTTGTCGAAATTTTGTTTGATTGGTTGGAGGATTTCATCATGAGCTGATATCGGTTAGAGAAGGTCCTGGGTTCGAACCTCGGTGGGTGCGTACCGATGAAGGGTTCAAACTAGTGTGGCGAAACAGTTGCCCAAAACCCCCAGGTTTTCCAATGGTTCTCTAAATGATATCAGCTCATGACGAAAATGATAAAAACAAAATCCTTACAAATCAATACTTTAAGATTCTATATTTGAATAAGGCATTAAGAAGACAAATTTCGCGAGATGACATCGTCATTTCGTAGTTTCTTTACAACCGCTTTACAACTAACATGGTTAACAATAATAAAATAAAGTTCATGACAATTACTCAGTTAAATAAAAAACACAAAAGTACATACTAATGACCAATCATATTTAGATAGGTCATGTAGTCCAGGGTAGGCGAAGATTGAAGTCTATTGATTTTTGTACACACAGTTTAGGCTGTATGTGATTAATCCAAAGTGCTTCCATCACCTTCAATAACCATCCTTGAATTAGAGTTATGTGAAATAATTGTAAAACAGTCATTAATATTGATTTTGTGACCTGACATTAATAAGTGTTTTGCAATGGATGATGCTGGATTTCTGTTCAGATTACTGGCATTGGGATTTTCTACATGATTTAGTAGCCATTTTGGAACATGTTCTTTCCGACGACATTGGAACATTCTGTTGGTTCTACCTATATAGGTGTCACCGCAGCACTGCACGTGAACTTGTAGATACAGTTTGAAGTAGAGTCCACAGAATTTCGTCCTTTAATCGTAGGTACAGGGATCGAAAATGTTCGACAAGTGAGGAAAAGAGATGCGGCGTAAAATGTGCGTTTGATGGCTGACCGAAGTCTTTGAGCTGTCAAATGCATAATCTGATCACCCTTGAATGGTAGGTTAATAAAGATAGCTTTCTTTGGTACAGAAGCTGTCTTTTCGAGATGTGGTCTTTCTTTACTGTGACAAGTGATAAAGTTTTCCGGATAACCATTGGCTAATAAAACTGAATGTATGTGTCGAAACTCATCCATCAATGTGTCACTCGTGCATATTTTTCGGGCCCTTGAGAACAAACATTTCACTAGGGAACGTTTATACTGGATAGGAACAAAACTGGTAAAATGAAGATATTGTCCACTCCATGTTTGTTTACGAAAAATAGATCTCTGAATCGTACCATCATCTCTCCTGGTCATTGTAATATCGAGAAAACCGAGTTTGTTATTCGATTCGCGTTCGGAAGTCACTCGGATATTTCGATGAATATGATTAAATAGAGTAATAAAGTTTTCAATAGATTTACTATTATTACCAATAATGAGAGTATCATCTACATAACGTTTATACAGTATAAATTCTCCAAGCATACCTTGCATTTGTCTCTCCAATTTCGACATGAACATATCTGCTAACAGGGGCCCAAGAGGGCTACCCATCGCAACACCATCAATTTGTTTGTATGCCTTTTCTTGAAAGGTGAATCTAATATTTTCTGTACACATTAAGATGATGTCTCTGATGTAAGTTACAGGAATAGGTAAGTTTATTTCATTGCTTGTGATGTAATCGCAAATGAAATCAACAGTTTCACTAAAGGGAACATTGGTGAATAAAGATTCTATGTCAATTGAACACAACCTTATCCTTGATGTTCAAGGTGTCTAGCATATCTGTCAGATCAAATGAACTTTTTACAGAATGATTTGATAATGAGTCTCTTACAGGCGTAAGGACTTCTGTAATCCATTTTGCGATTTTGTGGTATGGAGAACTCGACATGTCTAAGATGGGTCTCAGTGGGTTTCCAGTTTTGTGGATCTTCGGAAGGCCATAAAGCTGGGGAGTATGTGACCCAATTACTTTAAGTTGTTTATAAAGTTTTTCATCTATAAAATCATGCATCAGTAAAATCTAAATCTGACGGTTGATCTGCTTTTCCACAAGCAGCACATTATCAGTAGCATTGTCCACCAGAAATTTGGACTGATCTTTGAGGATATCATTCATTTTATTTTGATAATCCGATTTGTCCATAATGACAACGCCTTCTCCCTTATCAGGTTTAAGGATAATAAGATGATCTTTTTCAATTAATTCCTTAAGTGCGGCGTGATGTTCTTTTGATAAACCATTTTTCTGGTGTATTCTAGCATTTAGAAATTGGTGAGGAATGTCTACCAGTTTAACTTTAAACCAGTCAAGATTATCTTTACTGGAAGGAGTTAAATCAGAGATTTGATCATAAAGGTTTTCATACTGTGACTGAACTTCCATTTTGTTTATTTTCATAGGGATAGTTTTGTACTTCAATCTTCGCCTAACCTGGACTACATGACTTATCTAAATATGATTGGTCATTAGTATGTACTTTTGTTTTTATTTAACTGAGTAATTGTCATGATCTTTATTTTATTATTGTTAACCGTGTTAGTTGTAAAGCGGTTGTAAAGAAACTACGAAATGACGATGTCATCTCGCGAAATTTGTCTTCTTAATGCCTTATTCAAATTTATCAAAGGGACTAATTGTTTTAAGATTCTATATTTGTTGAAATTGATACTTATTTGTTATGACATCATTTTCGTGTGTTTGTATGCATTAAATCTTAGTAGGGAAGTGTGTAAATAACAATGTTTATAGTGGAGTATTCAGATGACGAATCCTTCTACCGAAATTTATAAATTGTATTTATAAATTCATTAAATACTCTTTCTTTATTCACAGTTGTTGCTTGTTTGAAAATAACGCCTTAAATACATAGTACCTTAATAGCTATCTGATTTCCTCTAATAGACTGTGTATACAAACCTCATAAATAACTGTACAGCTTCGAAGGGAAAATACTCAATCGGATCTCTTTGTTGACTTATTTGTTCTTAATTCTGATGTCATTGTCACTTCTTATCACCTTTCAAAGTTAAACCATTAGTTCAGTAAAACAAAAATCACAATAACTTACTCAAACATTTTTATCCGACTATCAAAATGCCCAAGACGATTGTAGGATAAGTCTAATACTTCAAGAGACTTTAAATTATAAAAACTGAAATAAACAGTAAAACAAAATGTGATAGAGTTGTTTGAATAATAATAAAAACAATGTCGAATCACAGTCTGGTCGAGCACTCTCCCATAGTCAAATATTCTTACAAAGTAGCGCTTCAAACAGTAGACTGAAGTCAATGGTTTTATACTATTGGGTCAAGTTAAACTTTAAACGCCACTGACTACCAATTGGGTGCGACCGCACCAATGACCTTGGAACGCTCACTGAGCAAGTCAGTGAAACCTAGCAAATAATATTGTCATCATCGATAACATATGCTCTTCGAAGTGTTGTGCTATTAAATGGGATACCTAGCAAGTTTCAGCATAGGTTTGGGAAAGATTAAGGTACGCTTTAAGCCAAGGAGAAGTTAGAGTTAGTTTATGCATGTAAGTTCACTATTATTACTATTGTTATTGTTATTACTACTATTATTTTATAATCATTATTACTACCATCATCCATATTTTATTATCACTCTATTACTGTTTATTGATAACACTGCTTTTTCAAGCACAGATTTTATACAAAAACACTCTAACGCCTTTCTACTAGTTCTTGTCCATTCTACACGAGCTTACTGATTAGTCATTATCTCACACTTATTACGTCATGCCAACTTCTGCCTCTTTTCTAACTTACAATTAGTCATCCCTTCTTACACCTTACATTATGTAATACAATTTCCCAAGGATAAAATTTACCAGTATCTGATTGGTCTAAAGATTTCTGTGTTAATTATAATTACGATTGTACAGCTCATGAAAATGAATCGTCGAAAAGAAAATTTTCTTCTCTGTTTGCGCCTTTTTCTTATAACCTAATAAAGGCGACATTAGGGTTGGTTCGAGTTAGATTACAATTAGTTTAGGGATATTTTCAAGTTAGCGTTAGGTTCATGAAAAATTAAGGTTATTGTTAGGATTAGAAGACCTAAATAATTGCATGCATAGAATGGGGTTAAATTACTCTGTTGATATAAGAATAGAACTTGTGCACTGTGGTAGAGTATAAATCAACTATGGGAAAAAATTAATTTTGATAAAGTCTCACAGTGTTATACACTGATGTTTACTGATGACGACGTTTCGAGCACAATTAATTGCTCAGTAAATATTACTGTATAACACTATGAAACGTTATCGAAATAAATTTTACCCACAATGGAATTATACGCTGTCGATTATTATTATATATTATAGTTCCCTTGGGTTCCTAGTGGAACATAGGGCTTCAACTGCACGTCTCCACTTGCTTCTGTCTTCTCCTGTACTTTTCACTTGCATCCATGTTAATCCATACTGTTTCAACTCTTCTTCACACTATCTCCTCCATGTCACCCTTGCACTGACGTCCCACTCGCCGCCACTTCCCTTTCGGCTTCCACTCGAGCTATGGCCTGACGCGCGATGTCACCCAGCGAGTGGCCTCCTCAGCCAGTGAGTGTCCAATCCATCTCCACTTTCTCCTGCATATTTGTTGGCCGATTCCTTCTTGTTTTCTTTGTTTATTCCCATAGTTTGTTTCTTCTTGGTTCTTGTTCTTTCCGGCTGGCCATCTGATCTTCAGTATAGAGCCAGCGAAGACAGTTAGTTAGTTGTTGATAAAGGTCTGCAACAGGCTGTTGCAAATACTCATTCTTTGTAACCCGCCGCCAACTTTCTCATCCATCCGTATAGAAGAACTGACTGACTTGACTGACGTTTGTATTGAAAATCCGAATCATTTTGTTGTTGGTACTGAGTTGAGTGACAGCGGAAGATTTCCAGATTGGTTTCAGGTTGATGAATGTGTTTCTCGCCTTCCCGATTCTCGATTTGACATCTTCGTCCGTTCCACCTGCGTGTAGTTGAGACAATGCTGGTTGCCTAGATAAGTGAATGAAGTAACCTCTTTCAAATCTCTCCCGTTGATGGTGATTGTCGCTGGATATTGCTGCTGCTGCTATTGTTGTTGTTGTTGGTTGGTTATTTTCATAACCTGCGTCTTGTCAATGTTCACCTGGAGTCCTGCCTGTCTTTGCTGCTTCTTCGGCCGGTTTGTCGGTTTTCTCTTGTAAGTCTTCGATTTTGTGTGACATCAAACATAAATCATCCACGCGCGAAATCCAGGTCTTCTAGGTTGTTCACGTCGGTCCAGGATATCCCTGTCTTCTCGTTTCCCACTGTCGTCTGACGCATAATCCAGTCCACCACAATTAGGAATATCATTGGTGATAATAAGCACCCTTGTCTGACTCCTGTGTTTACTCCAAACGCTTCGCTGAGTTTTCTGTTGTGGATAATCCAACCTAAAACTGAGAGCCAACGACTACCATGCTCTCAAGGTCATTGGAGCATCCACACTCCTGGGACTCTGCTGTTGAACTTCACTCTATTTTTATCACACGTGAGAGCAAGTTATCCTCTGTGACACTTTTCTACAGTTTTTAATGCATTATTTCATAAATGTATGTATTCCATACACAAAATGTCTCCTTCACTTGATTGGTGCGTTCGAGGTCATTCGCTGATTGGTGGTAGTTAGTGGTGCTAAAAGTTTAACTTTGCCTACTATTGATTATTTGTGGTAAAAATAACAGTTTTTTGTAGATGACAGGTGTAGTGGGTCGAATTCGAAAGAAGGCAGCATTTCAAAACCCACTGGTCACTGAAAGGTTATAGTCTAGCTCATTTGTTGTACATGACTTTGGCTTCTTCTTCTTCTGTTGAGACGGTTAGTAATTATAAAGTGTTTCGACCCGAGTCTGTGTTCTGCTTCACACATTTTACCCCATCGTGCTTGATATATTATTGTCTGTGTTGTTCTATTACACAGGAGACTCTCGGAATCTCTTGTTCACTGAAATCATGTCACGCATAAACCACTATATTCGGCATTATTCAAATTCACACAGAGGAATAAGAATGTGAAGATAGCATTGATCGTTGAAGATTGTTCTACGAACATCGGTTTTTTCATATTCCATGGTTCTTTCCTCAACAAGACGAACTGGTTTTGCTTTTTTTGCAAGTTAACCACATTTATAGTAAGTTGGTGCTTGCAGGAAAAAAAAACGTGCATCAGTTCTCACTCCCTTATGAACTTATCGATAATCTCATACAACCGCTTCCCTATGTTAGTTTGAATAAAGAAAGAATGAACCTAGTTGCAGACAGGATAATACAACCTCGTTTTATTTCATGGATTCTCTTGGCCAACTGCAGACATTTTAAATAAATCAATTATATGTCACAAAATGCTGTTTGAACATACTTGTTCACTTACAATGACTTCAAGTTATAGACAGATATTTTTTTATTTTGATTACAGCTTGATTCCATACCTTATTTTTTGGTACAGGTATGGAATTTTCAGCATGGATATCGGTAGCCCCAATTTTTCAGGCCGACCATAGACATCAGGTGTGCGTCGGTGGCGGATCGAACCCCGGACCAAGTGCATGGTCGGCGAGAGTCCTAACCACTGTGCCACCGAAGGTATGGGCAACATAATTTCAAGGATGATGTCAGTAGATAAATTATTCAGTCATATAAAAGAAAAGAAGGCGTTCAGCGAAGAGACTCTTTTCGGCGAATTCATACACTCAGCTGTACAATCGCATATTTATACAATTTTGTTTGTGTGTGTGTACATTAGATTTATAAAGTTTAGATAATTGTGTAATATAAGTATTTTTTTGCTTGGAAACAAACGTTAAGATGGAAAATAAAATAGAATTGATTAAGTGAGTAGAATTCAGATTAGGTCAGGTTGGCAACATTGTTAATGAGTGGTGTTTAAAATCAAATAAGGGTGGGGTTAGAGAATAATACAGTTGAAAATAAGTAAGTTAATCGGATGACGTAACGCAGTTGACTAGGAATTGGACGTGGGTCAAGTTAGTAACATTGTTAGTGAGAGTAGAGATTACAAAAGGGTGGGGTGGAGAATAATATAAGTGAAGATGTGAAATGATAAAATGCAAGAGACAAAATAATACATTTAGTAAGACTGAAATTAAGAAAGATTACGTCCATTGTAGATTTAATGAATGAACGAATTTCTTTTGTATGCAGAGTTCAGGATTTAGCAGATGAATTGCCATTGCTTCTGCGATGTGGAGAAGTTTGATCCGTACACTTTTAGCAAGATTGCCTTGTATTCTGTAGATAACTTTGAAGTTTATTTGTGGTTTGACTTGGTGTCCAGAGTCGATCAAATGTTCAAGGATCGAGCTGTGGGGGCATCGGCTTTCTCCTTTATAAAACCATGAAGGTAAATGTTCGTTGACGCGTTTGGATAGCGAACGCTGAGTACGGCCGATATACCTGGCTCCACACGAGCAGGTGAATTGGTAGATGCACATTCAGTGTTAAAATAGTAAATATTTATATAGTTATTAGACAAAGGGGTGGAATTCAGAGAAAGTCTCCGTTTGAAAGGCAATAAATTGTTCTCAAGCGCAGTTGCCAGACTCCTATCCAATTGACAAGGGATACACAGTGGAAATTAGTCAGTCTTTCTCTCAAAATAATCAATACACATAGAAAAGCATGGTCACTTCGGTTCTCAGAAGCCACTGTTATCAAAAGACTTCGACCCAACCTATGTATACAGAAAGAGAGAGTGTGACTGATCTCTCTCACTACTCAACCTGATAACCATAATAATTTTGTTTGTGTGCTTTTGTGTTTTATTCTGTTCCGTAACATTCTACTCAATCTTGATTTTGATTTTCATTCACTGAGTTGAACTCACTATTAAGGTTCTCAATCTACCAGATTAAACTATTTTATCTATTAGAATTTAATTGGTGGATGGTGACTAGCAGTGGTGGAATCCAGGATGCGCATTTCACCCTATTTGAGACTCGTCATCTGGATGTACCTGCATTCCACAGTGAGTGATAATGTTCCCACTGAGGGGCTGGAATCCATTGCCCATAGTTTCAAACGGCAAAGCGTTATCCACTAGACCACTTGGGTCACGAGAGCCACCTCTTGTGCAACGGGTGAGCATCCTGGATTCCACTACTAGTCACCATTCACCAATTAAATTTTAATTACATGCCCAGACATCGTCGAAGTGTGTGCACAAGAAGCCGACATGTCAGCCTGAGACCGAGCACTTCGGTTCAATCAATCAAAGGGAAAATCTAAAATTCAATTAAATATTTGATCTATTTTATAATTTTAATTTACTACTCACACCCGTCCTCCTGAACTCTTCACCATGATGTGCATAAATTAGCTCTGTTGTTCTATCTTGTTGTATGTCTCTGGCCCATCCTTGTTTCCAAAAGAAATCTGAATTACTCGCCTTCTCTGTCTAATTACTTTAGAAATGGTTACTCTTTCAACACTAAATAATTGCCTACTTACATCATCTTTGAGATTAAATTGCCTATACTTTCTATCTTGTGCGTCGGTGGCACAGCGGTTAGGATGCCCGCCGACCATGCACATGGTCCGGGGTTTGATCCCCGGCCGACGCACTCCTTTGCCTCGCTAAACCAGAAATAAAGCTGGTAAAGAGGAAAGGTTGGGCATGAGGTTAGCAACCCCATCCTGTAAAAATAAACACTGCCACATAAATTTCAAGCCTCCAGCTTTAAGCCCTATGTTCCACTGGGAACGTGAAGGAAAAAAAATACTTTCTATCTATCTATAGCTTGTAATCATTGTAAATAAAAAAGTATATTCAGACACCATTTTTTAACATATAATTGATTTATTTAGAATGTAATCAGTTGGAGAAGAGAATCCACGAAATAAAACGAGGTTGTATTATCCTGACTGCAAATATGTTTGTTCTTTCTTTATTATCGATATTTGTTTGCCAAGCTGTTACTCCAGTCGATAGTGGACATTGGACCAACAGGAAGGATAAACCACAAGAAAATGGTGACCAGCTGGGTCCAGCAATTTCCAGTCCTAGAACTCACGAATGATCTAACCATGTCCCAGTGGATGAATATCAGGTCCCAGATTCGATCTCTATTGGGGTTAAGAGTAAGTACTACTGAAGGGTGTCCAACTAGGATAGAACAGTTACCTATTTCTCCCTGATTTCTACTGGTTCTCTAACTTTGAATCAGCCGAATCCCCATAAATCAACACCTAATAATAATAATGGTAAAATTAAATCATAACAAATAGAAATTTCTTACTTATAGTTCAACTGTTCAATTAGACAATAAGATAAATCGAGTGATTTTAACTTTGTCAGCTTGGAAATTGATTCAGGCACAGTACGCAGGGGATTTGAACGCAGCGATAAAGACTCCAGATTCTTCAGTAGGCTGAATTCTTCTGGAAGATCCTTTTATAAAATAGAATTTCATAAGTACGGAGGTTATTTATTGATAACTGATGAATACACCATTAGAATGAGGTGATAAAGCGAAGAGCTCTCGTGATATCTTTATTGTTTATGAATACGTTTACAATAAAACAGAAATCGAGAAAAATCATTGTTAACAGACTGTATAGTGTGTAGGTGAGATTTTTTCCTCCTTTCAGTGTTGCTAATCTACCCTTCTAAAGTCTACTTGGTTATATGTAGCTGGTAAATCTACGGCAAGTAACCTATCATCTTGGAATTCCTGATATTGGCAAGTTTCTTCCAGCTCTGTCTGTCTTTCTCAGTCTTTCTCTGATAACTAATTGTTTATTGCAGTGACTTAACTGTTGTTATTATTATTGTTTCCTTTAGTTCCTAGAGCAACATAGGGCTTCAGCCGCACGTCTCCATTGTGTTCCGTTCTCTGCCAACCTTTTCACCTGGCTCCAAGTCTGCCCACACGTTTTCATCTCCTCTTCACATGACCTCATCCATGTCACTCCACCTTCACACTGACGACAAACTCACCACTTCCCGTTCGGGTTCCACTCGAGCGATGGCTTGTCTAGTGATGTCACTTGATGGTTTGTTTTCTCAGAGTATGACCAGCCAATCCACCTCCATTTCTTTTCGCTTATTTGTTGCACAGTCGGTTCCTGCTGGGTTGGTTCGCTCATTGCCAGAGATCACTCTCTGTTGCTGATCTTTTCTGGCCGACCATCTGATCTTGAGTATTATTGAGCGAAGACAACTGTAAATGAAGGTCTGTAGTTTGTTTGAGATGCTCTTTATGACGCACTGACCATGTCTCTGATCCGTATAGTCAGTAGCACTGACAGACTTCATATTTGAGTTGAAAATCCTGATCTTATTTTTCATGGCTTGACTGCAATTCAGTATTATCTAAATCGCCAAAGTCTCTTAACCCTTTTCAATCTCTAACTGTCTAAACTTGATCTGTATGGCATTCTCACCTTTTATTTTATTATTATCGATTCATTGTGGTTTATATATTAGTAAGATATCTCCCTATTATTTTCTTGTGTAGCCGGAAATTATCATTATTGTTGTTCCCTTGGGCTCCCAATCGAACGTAGGGCAACAAATGAACACCTCCACTTCATCCCATTGTTTGTGGTCCTCTTCACCTGGTCCCACAACTGCCCATAGGCCCTCATCTCCTACTCTTACGACCTCCTCCATGTCATCCTCAGCTAACGCCCAACTCTATCTTTTCCATTCCAGTCCCACTCGAGAGATCTATCTCCACTCCCTTGTGAACATTTGTTGAGTAACAGGCTATTGTTTCGTTCATTCCCAGAGTTCTTTGTCACTTATTCTTTCTCACTGACCATTTGATCTTCGCTATGGAACCAAAGGAGATAGCTGCTGATAAAAGTCTTCAGGAGCAGTTTGGATATGCTTTTCGTTACGGACGTGCCAACTGTCTAACTCATATAGAAGAACAAACTGACTTAACATCGCTGTAGAAAATCCGAATTTTATTCTTTGTGCTGAGTACAAGTGATTTCAGATTAATAGGGATTTCTACTGCTTTTCTGATCCTACCCGGCTTTGACATCTTCGAACGTGCCATCTATGGTCGAAATGATGCTGCCCAGATCGGGTATATTAAACAGATAACTTTGGCTAGATTTCTCCCATTGATGGTGATTTGTGCTTGTTGGGGTTATTGATGGTTAGGTATAAACATCATGAATCATCTGCGAACTTCAGATCTCCTAGGGTTTTCTTGTCGATCAAACATATTCTTGTCTTTCCGCTGCTCCCGGCCTGCTAAATAAGCCAGTTCACCACAGTGAGAAATACCACCAGTGATAGATGGCAGCTTTGTCTTACTCCTGTCTTCATCGCAGAAGTTTCTCTGAGCTCTCTGTTTGCGAATTACATGCTTGATGAATGAGGTTCATTATGGCTTGGGGTATTCCGTAGTGTTTAGGCAGTTTCCAAGCAGACACATACACCAACAGAGTAATAGTCAATTCGCTATTCCCCAATTCATCTATTACAGTCACCTACTTTCTTTGATGTATTTAGAAATGGTCAACAGAAGCTTTCCACCACAAATGTTTGTGTGACGTATCTTCTCTCTGTTATTATTCCTATAGACAGTCATTATTCTAAGTTAGACTTTACCACACCTTTAGTCTTCTGTAAGTTATAGGGTCCTGATTCCAGAAGTTATGAAAAAATAGGTTGCAGTAATGTTTGATAATTCCTACAAGTTGCTTTCAATGGTCAAATACACGGGTCTTTCGCTTTACTTCATGCTTTAATTAGAGTCAATAACTCCCCTTTCGCCCTACTTTGAAATGTTCACAACTGGGTGTTCTCGTTGGTGGTATTTCTATTGAAATTCGAACTCAGTACCCATAGTTTCAAATGCCAAAGAGAATTCTTAATCCTAGTTATATATAGGGCATCCATTTAATGATGCCAGTACACCGAAACGAAACTCATTAGTGTAGTCAAACATATATCAACAGAAAACCACAAAAATGAATAAAGAAGGAATATTGTTCTGATTTTCAGTTGAAATTAATGACATCAAACCATACAGTAATGTGGAATAACATTTCCTCAACCCACGCCACTGTGACACGCAATGTTCTACACATCCCTGTTACTAAACATATCATATGTTAAACTAATAAATTTTAAAGCAAGTATCAACCCAGCATAAATGCGTGAAACTATACTTTAGAATAACACATTTAAGCGAACAATATTGTTTTCAATAAGATCTCATCAGGCTTAACTCTAATACGTATAAGCTAACAAATAAAAATTCAAATATTAACCAATCATGGTGTTTTGTCTATAAGATAATACGATGGTGAATATATTCACGATTCCTTGATGGAGTAGTTTCATAAAGAAACATATGAAAACATCGGAGAAGAAAACCGGAGACTCTGACTGCATGTAAGAAACCTCTATTTATTAAGTTACAATTTAGTGATGACTTATCGAGTGAGTTTTTATTCCAAAGACTTTCAAGGAGTATACGAGGAACATATTTTATGAAGGACACCTATGTTTGTCATTCTCTAGCCGACGAATGATTGGGACGCAAACGAAGGATAAGCTTGATAGTTTTGCCACATCTATGTGCATTTATCAATTCAACTGCACCTGTGGTGACAGTTATATTGGACAGCTTAGCCAACGTCTTAGTGAACATCTTCCATCGTGGTTTGGCAAAGGACAGACAAAAACAATTCGTAGCTCAAATCTGTCACACTTAATTGCCATTGGTCATGTAATCAAGAAAACGAGAGCCTTCAAAGTCATTTATCGTATCCCACCGAATCTTTCCAATAGACTTCGTATTCGTTTACTGCACACAGCTGAGGCGATAAACATTCGAACTATTGAACCTAAACTATGCATTCAAAAGAAGTTCGTACAGCCATTATCCCTCCCTTGTTGGCCTATTAAGACATATCCAACTAATGACTTCTACACCACCCTTTGTTTATATTTTCAACCCCTTTCTTATCATCTCTTAATCTCATCACACCTTCATTATAAACGTGTTTCATTTCCTTCCCTTACAATCTAACACTACTTAATCGGTTCATTTGTTTTTCTTAGCCTTTATCGACTACTTCCACCTGAACAGTTGTTTGTTTAACCATGCTGTTTTTCATTATTCGTGTTATCACAGATTGCCTCACTTTTTCATCCTTATTATTGATAAGACCATTTTTATTATTACTATTACTATTATTATTATTATCATTACTACTATTATGACTAATTGCACAATTTATATTCACCATCTTATTATCCTATAGACAAAACACCATGATTGGTTTATATCTGAATTTTTATTTGTAAACTTATATATATTGGGGTTAAGCCTGATGAGATCTAATTGAAAACAATATTGTTCGCTTAAATGTGTTTTTCTAAATTTTACTGTAGGAATATTTAATATACTGAAACTCTATACTACTGAATGAATGAAATGAATAATGGCACACCATCACGTCATCCAGTAGTGCCTACTATCCAGCTAGCAGTATCGAAGCGACGTAAACCCCACTTGATGGCCATTTCATCAGCTGATTGCCTGGCCTCACGCAGCTGAGAGAGTTAAATCAGTTCAAACCACCCTTCATTTCTAGCTACCACGATACTTGGGTCAAACTGATTAAATCGAACTATGTAAATTTCGATGTAATTTGAAAATTGTGAATTTCATTTGAAGTAACAACCTGTCTGATGACTACTGTCATTAAAAACAATTTCAGATTCTCTACTAAAATACAAGTTAACAGACTGCAAAAAATATTAGTTACCTTCAAATAGTTCCTCGAAAGATCAATAAACTGTAGTGTAGTATAAAATGCAGATAGATCCGGCAGATATTGAAGTTGACAAGCTTCCAAAGATACAAATTTTCCTCCAGAATAATATGAATCGAATAGTTTAACTTGTTCTGGTTTCACTGTTGTCTCTGTAAGAAAAACAACCTTTCCATTGTTTCTAACAGTTTACCTTGTGTAATAATATTAAAAATAAACAATGTGCATTAGTAGATTCCACTCATCCCATTATGTGTCTGTTCAGAGGAACTGTTGGTTAAAAGATTATTGATTTACTGACTGTTGGTTAGAGGTGTAATTTTCAGATGAGTTGTGGGTGATGGTCGATTCAAGAGTCCCTTAAAGTGATCAACCGATTGTTCTATTTGTTTCTCCTCCTTGGTAATCAGATTCCCTTGAACATCCTTTCTAGGTTTCTGCTGCAATTATCTCTTCCCGGATGGAGACCTGATTATCTGACATAATGTTCTGAAGTCTCTTTTACCGGTGACTCGGCTGCCTGTTCTGCTTCAATTGCCAACTAGTGACGTAGAACTATCTTTTGTCTCTCCTAGTACTCTTCTTGACGTCTTTCTTGATTCAATACAGCTCACATTGAACTTAGCTTCACCTTCTGTTGTCCATCTTTGCAATGAGTCAGCTTCTCTTTCATCATCATCTCCTCGATTAGCTTCCAGGTAGGTGTCCATTGATAGCTATTTCTTGTCGTGTCTTTTTTTTCTTCCTAGAACAGGGCTACACGTTTCCTTGAACATCACCTTCAGAGAGTTCCAATGTTCTCCCACGCATGTTTTCTGAGTGATGCCACATAGTATATCCCTTGTAGTTTTTTCCTTCAGTTTCTGAATTTTGAACTTGAATTGTCTCCCATCTCTAGTTGTTCTGAAAGATTTCAGTTTGACCCTGAAGGTTCCTTGAACTAGATGATGGTCTGAGCCCACATCTGTCCCCCTTCTTGACTTTGTATCCAGCAGGCTGCGTCCCCACTTCATTGAGATTGAGATGAAATCTATTTGGTTTGTGGTACGTCCTTCAGGCGAATTCATGTTGCTTTGTGTATATCCTTGTGCCTCTACACACTGCCTACAATCACCAGATCACTGAAAGCGTAGAAGTCTGAGGAGAGTTCTCCGTTCTCATTCATTTCTCCTAGCGAGAGTCTCTCGACCCATGATGAGTTCTCTTCCCGCATTATCTGCTATCAGTTTGACTGGCATTCATATCGCCCACAAGGATTTTGATGTCGCCATTCATGATGTTGTCTATTACTGTTTGTAGCTGTCTATAAAAATCTTCCTTCTTCTCTCCTTGCTCGTTGTTTGTAGCATTGTGCGTAACAATGGACACCTTACACTCAACACTAGTGAAGTTTAACGATAAAATAGAAGAAGACAACTAACAAAATTTGCACTGACTGGAACAATTGTGGGGACTGTAATAACTTACATATAGGAGAAACTTGCATACAGGTAAATGGGAGAGTAATAGGGCCTAAACAATATCGAAAGGTGGTTCCAAAGACCTCTGCAGATTTGAAGAAGCTAGAAAACCAATTAGCAGTTGCACTAAACTCGATAGAAATGGGAGACAAGATGGACTTTGAAAGGAACTCGGTTCATATAAAGAAAGAAAGACTGAGGAATCCGTAAATACATGAGTGAATCCCAAAAGTCTGAACAGATGTGTTCAGATGTTACCTGATGCATGGCAAATCGTGACTAATAAATAAAAATGGATATGTATCACTAATCAATCATACGTGTCTATATCTTCTTATAAAGAAGCTAACAAATGGTTTACAATTGCTTCTCCATACACATATGCACACACACACACCATGGTATATTGCATACACACATATCTTTCATATTCAGTTATCTGTGCCCATGAACTTCAATCAAATGTAATCACAGACTAATAATAGTAAGTCTGAGATCAGATTTTGATCACAGCCCATGCAATTTTATGTATTTTGTTTTAATATCCGTTCATGACTCAAATGATTGGACAAGACTGGGTTATTTTAGTTTTGACTAATCTCTCTGTGTGTTTCGGTGGCACAGCGATAGAATGCTAGCCAACCACTCAGGTGGTTCGGGGTTCGATCCCCGGCTACCGACGCACTCCCTTACCTCTCGGAGCCAGTAATAGGACTGGTAAAGAGGGAAGGTTGGGTATGAGGCTAGCAACCCCATCCCGTATAAACAAACACCACTGCTACCGAACCTTCATAGCGCTAGCTTGAAACCCCATGTTCCACTGGGTATGCAAAGGAATAAAAAAATCGCCCTGAAGAAGTTTAGACCACTTTGCCGAACAAAAATTTGGAATTACCTACTCCAATTCGGCTGAGATTTTACAAATATAATTATATTCTATCTCATCTTGTGGAAACAAAACACAAGATTGATATTAACAAGGTTGCTTTCAAAGTCATCTAACGTATACCAACTAATCTTAACTTTACCTTAAGATTTTGTCTACTACATATTGCTGTGACCGTTGGGATACACACTAAGATGCCTAACTTATGTGTCCAAAAGAAGCTGGTTCAGCCATTGTCCTTGCCTTGGTCATCTAGATTCCACTAATCTTCAGTTTGTTGTGGAAATTTCCCTAATTTTATTTGATATTCTAGTTTCTATTACATTTCTATGCTTATTCTAATTTATGCATCTTTAGTGAACTGTAATTCCATGGTGATCTTACTTAACAAATCGATAGTATTTAAAAACCAACAATACCGTTATTTATTGATTTTTATTTTTATTAGAGTTTGATGCCACACCGTATTTTCAGTACAAGTATGGAATTTTCAGCATGGATATCGGTAGCCCAAATTTACAGGCCGACCATAGATATCGGGTGTGCGTCGGCAGGGGATCGAACCCCGGACCATGTGCATGGTCGGCGAGAGTACTAACCACTGTACCACCGATGCACCTTATATGAATAAAGCAAGAACAACAGTTTTCGCAGAATAAAATGGTACCATCATTCGTTATTTCGTTGGCTACTCATCAACTGTTCACAGCCCAAAGTCATTATTAAGTTTATCTATAGAAACAATTTTAACATACTTGCACAGAGTTCATTTTTAAACAAAAATCGATCAATCAGTTTATCCATACAGTAATTATATATATATATATAATAAACAATACTGATCACGCACAATGAAAACTTTCGACACTGGTAATCAGGTGAAAAAGAGGGTGAAAATAGCCAGTTACCAGGCAAGACAAGGAAAGACTGATAACCGCTTCTTTCTGAATACATAAATCGGATTTCAAGCGATTGATGCAGATTGCTTCGGCAAACTTGAGGAGAACTGAACTCTTTTGCCCATTGATAATTTTGAACGATCTTGCTACGTCCATCTCATGACCTGTGTCAAGGAGATGCCTGGAGATGGCACTGTTAAAAGCACTTGTTCCCTTTAGACATAGGCTTTTTGGTAAGTGTTCGGAAAATCGTAGGAATATCCTTCTCTCTATTCTTCCAATGTAACTGCTCCCACAGATACATGTAAATTCTATTCTGCGAAATTTGTTGTTCTTACTTTATTCAAATTCATTAAGGGGAATAAATCTATGAAATATTGTTAATGGCAGCTACTCTAGAATATTCTTTGTGTATAAACATATAAATATGATTGTGGAACCAGAAGAGGAGGAAATTATCGAATGGGATATTCTTTGCTCAATTTTTTTTGTTTTTTCTAAATGTCTGGACGAATATTTTCGACATATAAATTAGTTAACTTCAAAGGTCAAGTAATAATTACTTAACTGCCAAGTTATAAATCCCTTGTATCTATGAGTATAATTCAACTTTAATTCAGCTTTATTTGATCTCTTAACAAAGGTATCAGTTGTTTCAAGTCTTCTTAGACGATCACACTCCTTGATGTTAACGGATGAGGAAGAAAAAAGAAAAAGAAATATCAAACATTACTAAAATTCTCAAGAGAAACAACTACCCAAAGGACTTCATCAACAAAATCAACACTGATATTAAAAATGGTTTAAAACGTATTCCGAAAACATGGACCTCAACAGTTGTCATTCCATATAGAGCAGAGGCGTCAGATGATATCAGAAGAGTACTCAATCAGCTCGACATCAGAGTTCTCTTCAAAACATCATAAGCACTGCGAAACAAACCTGTCCACACAAAAGACAAAATCCCTGAGGATTAACTATCAAATTGTGTCTGCGAAATAAAATGCCTGGAATGTGATGCGATATGCATCGGACAAACATCGCGAGAAATCAAGGGAATCAGAAGAAATGAACACCGTAGAGCCCCTGTTCGACCACCGAAAAATCCAGTTAGTGAACTAGAAAAACTTGAAAAATCATCAGCCATAGTTCAATATGCCGTACTATAGAATCAGGCCACAAATTTGATTTTGACAATATTGAAATAATCTAGAAAAAGAACTTCAGAAATCACAAAGATCGTCTCACATCACCAGAAGCACTTCATATCAAACGGAATCCAAATTCTCAGAATAGGAATGACTGACTAAAACAGAATTTGACTTGGTTACAACACCCCCCCCTCCCCTATGAAGGAACAAAATCAACACGAATATAATGAGTAATTTCATTATGTAAAAACACGCTGTTTTTATAATTCTACACACTTAGCAAATCCAATTATCTACACCTGGTTTTGTTATCTTTAGTAATTGGCCGATTTGACAACGAAAAATGACCTCATGCTGAGGAACGATGATTAAGTTGTTATGTATAAGCTGAGATTTTGTAAATTCTAGTTTAATAGTAGTTTGTTAAAGCTATTAGCAGCATTGAAAGAGGCTACTTCATTCACTTATCTAGGGAGCATTGTCTCAACTACAGGCAGGTGGAACAGTCGAGGATGTCAAATCGAGAATCGGGAAGGCGAGAAACACATTCATCAACGTGAAACCAATCTGGAAATCTTCGTCACTCAACTCAGCATCAACAACAAAATTCGGATTTTCAATACAAACGTCAAGTCAGTTTCGCTATACGGATCAGAAACTTGGCGGGTCACCAAGAATATTTCCAACAGCCTGTTGCACACCTTCATCAACAACTAACTGTCTTCGCTGGCTCTATACTGAATATCAGATGGCCGGAAAGAGCAAGAATCAACAAGAAACAAACTATGGGAAGAAACGAAACAAGAAGGAATCGCTCAACAAATATGCAGGAGAAAGTGGAGATGGATTGGACACTCACTCGCTGAGGAGGCCACTCGGTGGGTGACATCGCGCGTCAGGCCAGTGCTTGAGTGGAACCCGAAGGGGAAGCGGCGAGTGGGACGTCAGTGCAAGTGTGACATGGAGGAGATCGTGCGAAGGGGAATTGAAACAGTATGGATTAACATGGATGCAGGTGAAAAGTACAGGAGAAGACAGAAGCAGGTGGAGACGTGCAGTTGAAGACCTGTGTTTCACTAGGAACCCAAGGGAACAATAATAATAAGATAATTAGCAGAATTAGACAGCGAAACGTCAATAAAAACGACAACAACATCGTTTTGTTTTTCAATCATTGGGAAAAACCAGAAAACCTTTATTATAATCAATTAGTAATTAACTTACTTTCAGAAATGTCACCGGATTTCAAATTCTTCTGGAATTTTAATAACTTCCTTGCAGTTATTCTAGGTGAACTTTAAATAATTAAAGAAATTTACAACTTTCGTTGTTTTGTTTTTTTATACTGGAACATACTCAGATAAAATAATCTCATTGTCGGTTAACTTCTCTTTTAATATAATTGCATAATTATTTTGATGTCCAACTGAACAATCTTGATAAGTTTTTGGAAGTTTTTTAATTGAACATGTAATATCAGCCTCAAAAGTCGGTAGGAGAACATTTCTTAATTCACAAGCAATCTTTATTAAGTCATGATACAATGGTGTTCGTTTCATCGGTGGAGGAATTTTTTGTAAAATATCGTTGAAGTCAATTTCTGTTGTTGACGTGTCGACTGTATCAGATTTCAAACATTCAAAGTCATGAGCACGTTGTGTATGCTTAGATACTTGTAGTTGATTACACGTTTCTATTGGACATTGACTGTCGTCACTACAACAGTCCTCTTTATTGAGCATATTTCCTTTCAGAGATAATGGATTGTAGAGATTGTCTACAGGGCGTTTATAATTTCTTTGACTCCAGTATTTATAAAGATTCATGAGAGAAGGTTTATTATTCATAGTTGAGATGTTGATACATCTTGCAGTAGTTTGATTCCCCTTCGGATAGGGATACTTTCTATTGAAGGTAACTGTTGGTTTCTCACTTCTATAGTTACAACATTGGTCTGGTGATGTGGTGTCAACAACTCTCCTAGGCCGACGGAATAGTATCATATCACCCATCACTTGACTCACCGTCTGATAAATATTATACCAGAAATAATTCAATTCTCGGGTTTTTTTTTATCTTAGTATCAGATCACGTGACTATTGATTTATCAGGTACTGACCTTAAAAGATTGACTCTAAGCTTCAGCTAGCTGTCATGCAGTGGCCTATTGAAAAATTCGATTTTCTTTATTTTAATTGGTGGTTGAATCAACAGATAGAAAGGTGTGTCTCAAGTTTAATCATCCATTGATATCAGTTAGACAAACATTTAAAACCAACACTGCAGTACTGGATAACTGTTTTATCCCAGTTCGGGACTCATCCCCAGCTTGTACCTACCAGATTTCGAGCCCACGACCTTCCGGTGACAGGGAAAGCTCGTAAATCACCCAGCCACTTGGACCCGACTCAGAGGCCAGTTCATGAATTCTAACTTCCAACAATTCGTGATTTCAGTGTGACCTACCACCAGCTATTGTCACCGGTTACAAGTATTTGTCCTCACCGTCGACCAGGTGGACTGCACCACTCATGGCTTTTCACTGGAACTCCAGGTAACTTCGTACTGCAGCCAGTCACTAGCTAGAATCAGATTAATTTTCAAGATTGATTGACCATAAGCTGTCATTAGTTAGAGAACCGTTGGAAAACCTGAGAATTCTGGACAGCTGCTTCATCCTAGCTCGGGACTTTACAGCCATACGCAACCAACCCAACGGTTCAAGTGGCTGAATGCTCTGCAAGCTAGCCTCGAGACCGGAAAGTCTTGGGTCCGAATACCAGTAGGTGAGTACTGATGAAGAGTCCCAAAGTAGGACGAAATATTTGTCCAGTACTCTCAGGTTTTTCAATGGTTCCCTAACGGATGTCAGCTTATGATCAGTCCTGCAACTAGTCAAATGCTTGCAAACAAAGTTTCGAAGATAAGAAGATTTAGAGGCTAATAATTTAACGGCATTCAGCAAGAACTTCACTGTAAGAAAAATTTATTCAAAAAACATGCAGATATTTACATCTTAATGCAGAGAGTTTCACCGTAACTCTGACCATGAATTAAACGATGTGTCAGTGGGTAATCCGGAGGATATTCGCCCACCAAACACTTGATCCCGTGTTTGATCTTTGGTCTAAGAAGTTGTAGACCTCTCTAAGAAGGTGGCAAGGCCCGTAATGAGGTAAGAGAGGGTGTGAGACTAACAGCTCCACCTCGTAAAAATAAACACCACTGCTATCAAAACTTCAAAGCTCTAGCTTGAAGACCTGTGTTCCATTTGGAAGGTCAAAGGAACACAAAAAATAAATTTAACTGTATAGGATATGATTTGAATGGCAAAAAATCAATTTGTGACTAGTCAAGTTGAAATGCTTGGAACAGTGGATCATATTTCCGCCATTTTTAATGATTCACTTTCTTATAGAAATCTAATTTCTGTCTTTTTGAAAAGTTATTTTACATGTCCTGGAAAAATGAACCTTCCGAGGGCTACTCATTTTATTTTGACCTAATAAACTATGCCAGATAGTACTACACATTGTATCTGGAAAGTCGAAAGTGGTGAATTGAGTGAGTTTCGGTGTTATTACATTATTATAATTATAATCCATTTGTTGGTTTCTTGGTGAAACATAAAACTTCTGCAGCACATCTCCATAGCACTCTGTTCTGTAAAGTTATTCTCACCTGGCTCCACCACTGCCCATAAGCTTTAAATCGTTCTGTGTTGTTGTCTTCTAAGCACTAATTACTTATAGAGTATGGAAAATCCTTTGTTATTGTTTCTTTGGTATTTAATTTTATACTACCTAATTACTAGAAAGTAGTATAAGTGTAATATTTATTTATTTTTTATTTATTTGATTACAGCTTGATTCCACACCGTATTTTCAGTACAAGTATGGAATTTTCAGCATGGATATCGGAAGCCCAAATTCATGCTGACCATAGATATCGGGTCTGCGCCGGCAGGGGATCGAACCCCGGACCATGTGCATGGTTGGCGAGAGTCCTAACCACTGAGCCACCGACGCATGGTTTATCACATGTTTACTCCTTAACTATAATTACTTGTTTTCAACGAATTTATACCAACCGTATAATTATCTTCCTAGATTAAAGGGTACCTGTTGTTTGTGATTTCTTAATATTCTAGTCTGTCTCTTGAATGTTGTTTATCCGAATGCATTTTGTCTCGCTCTATACGATCTTGCGAAATTTACTGCTAACCGTGGATAGTTTCTTGAAACAGCTCTGTCGTTTGCTTATCAATACACACTGACACTGGCTTAAATGGTGTATGTCGCAGACATGTCACAATCCGAGTGCGTAAAAAGAATTGAAGCCCAATGGGTTGTCTGCCATATATGCGTGGCCTGCCAAAGATACAAAAACAGAATTGTCCAATGAGACCTATATCATTAGTGGTGAGTCCACACATCCATAAAGTTTCCTGTTGGTCAGCTGAAAAGTAGGGACTTGTTTGACACAGGCTGGCTAAATATGCTCTGAAGAATTCATCCAAATTCTCTGGAAAGTGTAGCCGACTTAATGTTTGTGATAAATTTGTGGTCTCCTTCAGTGAGAACTTCCTATTCACACAGGTTCCACCTCACGAAACTTTAGATATCATCTGTCAGCACGCTGATCTCCTCCGTTTACTAACATTTGAATTTAAATAACATCTCTTAGTGATATTAGATGGTTGGAGGCTATCAGCAAGGAGTTTTCGCTGCACCTAAGTAACATGCTGTTGGCACTCAGCAGTCAGAAAGACAATCTTGAAGGAACACATCTCCCCTTTATGATTCGAACCCGTGTCATCCAGTTCTGCAGTCAGAGATGTTACCACTGAGCTATTTGTGGTCGAAAACGACCTCCTGTGGAAGAGTATTGGGCGCTTTGATTAAACACTAGTTAGTAACCAGTGTAATGTGTGTAGTGCTTTGTTTGGTTCAAACCGAATTCTAACTAGTGTCTAGTCTAAAATCTCATATTGTATACCAAGAATTTACAGCTGTAGTTCAACGATAGAATGTATGGATAAATTGTTGGGATAGCATTACCTAATAGAGAAGATTTGTAGCTCAGGTGGATGATTTGCAGTTAATAGTGTTCTCTGGACTGGTTGGTTTAGTTGCGGAGCTTTCGTCGTCCTTCTGGACAACATCCCCCTTCAGCGCAATATTTAGCGTAGAGTGAAATGATTTAAATTTCTTCATAAGTGATAGAATTGCGTCTCCTGGTAACCATCTTTACATATGTATTGACCATTTTCTATTGACTTGGATTTTAAACTTTCTGGTCACCTGATTTACAAAATAAATTGTATGAACTGTAACAAGCATTACATCGGCCAAAATGGGCGACCCCTTCGAATTAGAATCCAAGAACACAAATCAGCCGTGAAAAGACACGATATGTATTCTTTAGTATCAATGCATATAGACAATTATGGTCATCAATTTGATTGGGATAATGTCAAAATCTTAGACAGAGGAAACACCAAAAGTGCAGTCAGGGAATTCCTAGAAGCCTGGTACTCAAACGAAAATGCAATTAACAAACACTTTAATATAGACCAAATTTATCAACTAATAAAAAGTAAATCAAGTGACCAGAAAGTTTAAAATCCAAGTCAACAGAAAACTGTCAATACATATGTAAAGATGGCTACCAGGACAAGTAATTCTATCTCTCATGAAGAAATTTAAATCATTTCACTTTATGCTAAATATTTCGCTGAAAGGGGATGTTGTCCAGAAGGACGATGAAAGTTCCGCAACTAAACCAACCAGTTCAGAGAACACTATTTAATTGCAAATAGCATTACCTAGTCCATTAGCAGATATTTTTACGGCCAGCCTTGAACAGACAAAGCTTAGATATGAAACTGGTGAAAATATAGCCTAATATAGATGGGCATATGACATACTGACTTTATACAACAATCTGAGTCATGCTGTAGTGACCCATTTTATTACTCATCATCGCAGTATACTTTCACTGCGTAATTGTACTTTGATTTGTTTATTTCTCTAAATCTTGCATGTTAACAATTGATACTTTTGTGCTCGCTCGATTTTTGAATTTTGATTGCTGCTATAATACACTATCGTATTCCTTCGCAAGTGCCTTTTGAATTACGTTGTGGATGTCGAGTAATCGCAACGTTAGGTCACAATTATAAATGCGAAGAAGTACTAAGATATACGTGTACGCTAGTTTAGTCGAAATATAGCAGCACATCAATGCATCGTATAACCTTGAGTTATTCAACAATGCACATGAATTCATCAATTTCAAAATAGAACAAAAAGTTAGTGGGAGTTAGCCTGAAAATTGCTCATAAGCTCTAATGACTTTTCACTTGATCTCCTCCATGTCACTCTCAGACAACCAGCTCGTCACGTCCCATTTGACGGCCTGGCGCTCAATGATATCCTCAGCATATTTCCAATCCATTTGAATTTTCATGTTCATATTTGTTGGGCTATAGGTTCGTGGTTGGCTGGTTCCAAGAGTTTCTTGTTGCTAATGCTTTTTCGCCAGTCATCTGATCTTCAGTATGGAGCCAGGGAAGGTAGCTCTTGATAACATTCTGAAATAGTCAGTTAGAAATGCTTTTGGTGAAGAGCGCACCCAGTCTCTAGACTACATAGAAGAAAGTTTCTTCTTTCATGGAATTATGTGACCGATCTTGGTCTAATAACTAACATCTCGAGTACTTTCTTCCAATAAACCATTATTCAAAATATCATTCGGCAAACAGTCTCATATTTGTATGACGATAATGTGCAACATCCTAATCTATCTAAATAGAAAATAGAATTTCCATAAACTTAAGAAGAAC